ACTCGCGTTCAGAATCTGGAGGATATTTGTCTCCTGAAGGATGCCCAATTTGGGGGGATTTTATTGCGCAGTGTTGTCAGAGCGGAAGATAGAATGTGCACTGTCCATGAGACGCCTCGTGCCTATAACCGAACAGACGATGCAGTTCAGCCAGATTTGGTCCAGTCTCATGGCCCTGCTCAGGCTGTGGACAACGCGACGCCGACAACTCCCAGTGCTGAACCATCGTCAAATACAGTTACTCCTCCTTCCCCTGTATCCACACCTACACTAACTGACACGCGTGCTCAAAAACCAACCGAAAACGAGACGTCCTCCAACATGCACAAAACAGAGTATAATGGCTCATCTGACTCACCCAAACCCTCTACCACAGTTCAGTACCATCAACCTAATCCAACGACCCAAGAATCCTTTTTCAAATCCGTTAACAAGCGTTTGCATATGTTAGAGACGAACTCCTCACTCTCATTACAGTATATTGAGGAACAGTCACGTATCCTACGAGATGCATTTAACAAAGTAGAAAAGCGACAGCTAGCGAAGACCACCACCTTCCTCGAAAACTTAAACACATCAGTGCTGCAAGAGCTCCGGGAATTCCGCCACCAATACGACCAGGTCTGGCACTCCGTTGCCGTTGAATTTGAACAACAACGACTACAGTATCGTCAGGAGGTCTTCGCTATGAGCAGCCAGTTGGGAGTTCTGGCTGATGAGCTCGTATTTCAAAAACGCATCTCAATCATCCAAAGTGTCTTCGTCCTCGTCTGCTTCGGCCTTGTCCTTTTCTCCAGTTCCCCGATAGGCAGCTATCTCGAACTCCCCCGTGTTCATAACATGGTCTCCCGTTCCCAGAGTTTCCGCTCCTCAACACATTCCTTCGAAACACCCTCTGCGAGTCCTCTCTCGCGGCCCAACTCGCCCTACCAGGACAACAAGCGTGTCTCCAGCAGTCATACACGCACCAACTCCATGGAGTCCAGGGAAGACGACTTAACGGTAAATCCAACCATCTGTTACTCGCCACCAACTCCGACATCTGACAGCGGCGGTCACGAATTACGTCGACGACTCTCTGAGCAAACGAACTCCACGTCGAGCAGCGTTGTGGTAACGCCCCAGACTCGGTTCCTCAGGTCTGAAAGTAGTCCGCCAGACTTATGTGAATCTTGTGAAGGGTCTGACGCGGGTTCCTCGTCAGAAACTCCGCAGTTGTCCACTTGATGAAGGGCTTGTGGGCGGGAGAAGAAAACCCTTTGACAAACTGGTGCTGGGAGAAATGACTTGATACTTCTCATCCCGCGTACCCTTCCGACCTTGCACGCCACAGGTGTCTCTATATATGAACTCTTCTCCGAGATTGTCAACATATCGCTCAGGAGGCATCCGTTGATTTAGCTCAGCCACGCCTCTCTAGGGGCCATGCTTGCGAGAAGATATTTTGTAACGCCATCGACAATGCGGGACGTTGATCTAACTGGTAAACACCATGAATGCAGAATTTGAGTTACTCATTCGAACTCATCATCGCCCTGTAGGACAAGAAGAAATAGCCTTCAACAGCAATGACCCCAACCGCGGGGTATCCTGTAGGGAATGCTCTGTGATCCTTGACGTATCAATGTTATTGGAGTTTTGTCGAATGCGGAATTCGAGTGACTTAAATCTCCTTATCCTAATGGAGACAAGTTACAGATGAGACAGCTGAAACACGAAAGTTGACATAGATCAGCTTCGCTTTTGGCTGTTGTTAGTTAGCGCCTTTCGAAAACAAATTGTTTTGAAGGCAGACCATTCCGAGTCCACTTGGACTACCGTTTTGCCAGCAACGGCATTACAGGAAGAAAACCACCTCTACCTTGGGAAATTTTTTTGCAGGCTTCCTTTATGAACGATGCGCTTGGAAGTCAGCTGTGGTGGTAGGGTAATCATTATGAGCATATGCGCCTTACATGTGGACCACACTTACTTCTATCTACGTAAAGGATAAATGGGAATAATACTCCCAGGAAGATCTGCGTGTTGGTTCTACCAGAAGGAAGAATGGGTTTAAATGTTATGGTTATGTTATGTTGATGATCTGAATGAGTAATGTATTTTCATATTCCCCTTGTCACAGTCTCATATGCACCATATGTGTATATATATGTGGTTGTGTGTGTGTGTGTGTGTGTGTGTGTGTGATTTGGCGATAATTTTTTCCCCCATGCCTCCGAAAGAATTAAAGAGATTAAGTTAAATTGTTTGTAGCTGTGTTGCATAGCGAATGTTCGATATATATAATCTATAAAATCCTTTGATGTCCATCTTGTTTCATTCGGCTATTGATGACGGAGGGATGTATTTCTGTGAGACAGATGATAGAAATAAGAATGTGCGCGCGGTAGTACAACATTACCCGTTTATGTATTTATATCTAGTTACCCGATCAAGAGGATCTATTTCCTAAGTTTACCTGGGTGAACAACTTTCGATTCTCATCAGCAATACAAAATAAGGGAGGGCAATCCTCTCCGGTTTTTAAAATTTGCTGTTGGCAATAGCATGGTAACCAGTAGGAAACATCGAATAACATAGTTTATGGTCCCATGGATACAAGTTTAGCTCTCTTTCGGACACAATTGTACTGGTCCTCTTTGTTGTTGTTTTGAGAAGGGTAAACATGGCATTTCCTCTAGCTCACCATCCCTGACTGACTCCACAATTGGCACGGCATTTGCGAAGACAGGGTTGCTCCAGATTCCCGGGACAATGGGGGAGGATTTACATTTAGCAATAATAAATTGGTGAGTCATAGATGCGAATCTCCACACCGTGGAAGAGGTCTGACGTCGATCGAGAGTTTTTGTAGGTTGAGATGTGGCGTTGCTATGGTAACTATCGGACGATAACCAACAGCAAAAAAATATAGTGCCACTGCTGGCTTACTCTTTCTCGTCAACATCAAATGGCCATTAATTATTGACCGGGAACCAGGGAACAAAGCTTAAGCTCATTTTACTGTGTACTCCTTGCCGTTGCGTTGAAAAAGTTGCATTTCAAATCTCTCTCTAGCAAAGAAAACGGAGAGAGGCGAGGGAGAAGCAGCCCTTCTGTTTTCGAACTGATCAAAATAAATAAAAATCATCGATATATAAAACCGCTGTCGGCTTCCGGTTCGCTTGTTGTCTTTATACCAACATTAGCAAATCCACATCTCTCTGGCCTTGCTTTTATACTCCTGCTGCTTCAACAACCAAATAAAACTCAAGATTTCAGTTTATCACTCGTCCATTTGCCCGAAAAAAAAAAAAAAAAAAAAAAAAAAAAAAATCGCATTGCAACAACAACACCCCGAGAAAACCCTTGGGCTGCAATCCACTGATCCGAATACTCCAGCTCCTGTTTCAATCAAGCTACTTCTTATCAGAGTCGAGCAGCAATGGAACTTAATCCTACAAGCCCATCAAAGACCACTCCCCTCGCGGATCGTTCCACAAACATCCTCCTCTCGAACACGGTTCCCGCCGGAGTGGCGCCCCCGATGACAACTGGAGACTGCAGCGCAGACCTTAAAGCTGCAACCGTAATGTCGATGGAATATCACAGACAAGTGTTGAAGGAGAAGCTGGAGAACGGGAAGAGGTATGTTCATACCCGCGTGTTTGTGGCTATCAGTGGGGATACTTTTGAGTTGACAACCAACTAATTCGAAAAATTTTTGTTCTACCAAAAAATAGTGAGAAGGGACACTATATCTCTCCATCTGATGGAATCATGAGCCCGTGCACCAAGAAGCTGAGTGACTTGAAGGGAAAACGGTATAAGAAGTATAGTTACCCTTGTATTATCTACGCTTAATGAGCTGGTTCAGTTTGAGCAAACAAAACTAACATGCCTATTTTCTCTGAAATAGTGCCGGCAAACCACAAACTCTCTTTGCAAAGGCCATCAGCAAGAAGCCCGTTGAGAAGAAAGATGAAAGTTGAACTCAAAATAGGATCAACAGCACCGCCAGAAGAGAGTGTCATGATTTTAGGGGGAAAAAAAATATATGGCTATCAGGGAATACTCGAAACCCTAGTCTTTTCCTATTCCTAAATACCTCCTTCTCGTAAGTGCGGATTCTAATTGGGGGCCGCCTCACTAATCAACTTGTATTTTTCTACTGTCGCCGCATGCTCCTTTTTGTTTCACTCCTTTTTGTACATGTATATTTCTTTTTGTTTCCCATTTCTGATGGTTCTTTCATCAGCTTTCATATTACACAATGCCCTATGGTCTGAAACGACCTGACTCAACAAGCCTGTACTTTTCTTTTTTCATTTTCATTTTTTTTTTTTTTTTTTTTTTTTTTTTTGGGTTGGAGGCAAGGAGGAAACCATGGCGTTTTCTAAAGACCATAGAGATACTACTGTACTGAGCAGGACACGACATTATGATTAATGGATTGATATTTGTTTTTTCTTCTTTTTTCTTTTCTTTTTTCCCCTCTTCCCCGGCTCCACCTATTCAGGTTTGACCGGCCCCATCGCGCAGGTTCGTTACGTGGTGGGTTTGAGCTGAGTGGGCCTAGGAAATCCTACTGTTCGAAGGTGTTAGATTTCTGAGGAAGGACTTGATATCCATGGATAGAAGTAGCATTTGGGCCTACTAATTGATAACATGCTTATGATAGTATCAAATCCATACAGTTTACATACATTCACAATGTTATTCCATCCGATCAGGTATCAATTTTAGCCATTTTGCCATCTGGACAATGAGAAAGTTGCTTGACCCGGGGTTTCTGGGATAGAATTCCTATAGGTTATGTAGGTAAGTACTCGGAGCATATATTCATGCTTGATTTTGCGTCCACCTCAGCTACGATGGTTTGGATTGTCGCTCTATCTCGTGTTCGCCCAAGCTTCCACGGGATCGGTATCCATCATCCTTTGAAGGTACCTCTTCTCAATTCATATAAACCGGCTATTCCAGGGATGAGAAATGTTGTTATATCTCCTTAATCAGATTCTATTTCTGTGATACATTTAAATTTAGC